GAGGTTCTGTCCCTCATGCTGGGTCTCACAGTGGGGCTGCAGTCCAGCCTGGTTGGCAAGGGGCTGGAGCTGGCCCCTGGTGGGCTGGACCCCAGTTCCCGGCCAGGAGGGCCCCACTCCAAGATAGGCACCTCATTGGACCCAGAGCGCAGCCACCTTCTAGGCGTGAACGTTGTGCTGTGCCCCCTGCTCTACGTGGACCCCATGGCTGTCAGGGGCACCCAGTCTGAGGTTAGGCGGTCATGTCCCCTTGGAGGATGTCATTGGGACCTCTCAATCCTGTCTTGGGGACCAGCCTCTCTCTCTTGCTCTCTCCCTGCTGTGCTGTGGCAGCTGGTGTGAAAGTAGGCCAGGGCGAAGGCACAGTGGGAATCGCGGGTGGCTTTTGGCTGGGCACCCACTGGGGGATCCATGTTTTCAGGTCAGCCTACAGCCCCTGTGCCTTCCAGTTTCTGTAAAACGGACTGTTTACCAGGCCCAGAATGGACGAATGTGGGTTCAGGGCCGGGTGTGGGGGGGTTGTGAAAGGTGAACAGGGTGGCAGGCAGGTTGCTGGCTACACTCGCACCTCAGGGGGGACCTCTCCTCTCCAGGGGTGACCTCCCACCCACCACCCCGCAGGATAGGAGTGGCTCTTGATGAGGAAAGGGAGGGTTTCCCCAACATGCTGGGGGCTGGCCCTCTGCTGCCTCCAGGACATTCATCCGTGAATGAGTGTCATCTCCGGATGCCACCTCCAATGGTAGTCACCAGTGAGAGTCCCTGCAATCCTGGAGGCCTGCCAGCGTCTGCAGGCGGTGCTGAGGCAGTCGCTGGGAGCCTGGGATGGTGGGTGGAGGTGGCAGGTCTGAAGGGACAGTGGAAGATCTCTTTCCCAGCAGCCGTCTTGGGATGACAAATCCAGGACCGATCGCATGCAGCTGAGCAGGGCATTTTATTTTATTTTTCTTACACATTTAACTACTTTTTAAAAGTAGGTGATTTAAGTCCTGTTTTTTCCCTCCTACCTTGTTGCATATAAAATCTCCTTATTCTTATTTTTGAAAGCTCCAAGACCAGCTGTTATTGAACTTTTCCAGAGGTCACAGATCCCTTTAGTAATTTGCCAAAAGTTATGACCTCTGTCCCCGACTCAAAATGCACATACCACGGCCTGGGGTGCCATCTCAGGGGCGCTTAGGGACTCTCTGAAACCCATCTCAGAGCTAGGCTGAGGTCCCTGGTGCTAAACTATGTGTGCCTTAAGGGACAGCAATAAGTCTTTTATTTCTGAACCTCATCACTATCACCCTCAAAAGTTTCTGGAGCTTTTAATAGTCGGTATTCAAAATAATGCTTGTTTAATGAGGGACTTAGCAATAGCTGGACTACACATTCCTGCCGGCTGGAGTTCTTTCCAGTTTGTTGCAGTTTTCAACTTTAAGATATTGAAATGCAATGAAAATATTTTCGGTTTGAACCTAAATGTTTATTTTCCAAGCAAAATGTCACACCTCACAGTCCACAATCTGTTATTATTACTTTACATTTTAAACAGAAATAAAAACTCTAAGAGGGTCATGAAGGATGACAGAATTTAAGTCATTTGAGTTCTGTTTTTTTGTTTTGTTTTGTTTTTGGTCTTTACAATGACTATATTATTGCCTTTAACATTTTATTTATTTTTATTTTATTTTATTTCTTATTTTTCCCTTGCCCCACCTCACCATTGTCACTTTTTATTTGGAATCTGTTGTCTAAATGCAGAAACAGGCAGTAAGGACCGTGGGCTTTGGAGACGTGAGACGTGAGAGGATTCCGAACCACTGACACTCACTTTTGCAACAAGCACAGGTCACTGAGCCCGAGAGTGTCAGGGCCAAATGCATAACTGGGAGTTCTAGAAATGAACGTCGATGTAGAACAGAATGAACAGAATATTTATTAAAGGGTAAGTAACAAAACTATGACAATTCGAAGTTCCCATATATATTACATAAAACTCAATAGTAACTGAAGATGGTTTTTAGAACTTATACCAAGAGATCATTTTTTTTTTCCTGGGGGGAACTTTGTTTTTATCACTGACAGAATTGTGATAAAGGAAGGCAGGCCCAACAAGTAAGATGTGCAACATTTGGGGGATGGACACGCTTGAAGCTCTTACTCGAGGGGGGAGGGGAGCACGGGCAATATATGTAACCTTAACACTTATACCCCCATAATAAGCTAAAATAAAAAAAAGGAAGAAAGGCAGACCAACTTTTGGTTCTATTATTGTATTTAAATCACCTACTGACAATGGTTCCCTTACTGCTGGCTTCCAGGGCAGCCAGGTGCCACCTCCCTACCCCTGGTCCCGCCCTGATGTGACAGCACGTTCCCGCAGGGCAGGGACAGGGACAGGCGGTGCAGCCCACTGTTGGGCAGTGCCTATTGCACAGATGCAGAGGTTCCCAGCCTGCAGGGGGAGGCTCCACGGGAGTCACCAGGGATGTCCTGCCTTTTCTTACATGCGAGACCAGATTTTCTTCATGCACTTCAAACAAAGCAACGTATCACAACAGATTAAACCCAGAAGCCGATAAGGGATTCCAGCTGTCTTCTGCTAAGCCAGGCATTAAAGAGATTTGCAAAATTTCTTCGTAAAACGATGTCACTCTTCTGCCTCACTTTAAAATTATTATTTGGAAAATATAAGCCATTTTCCATAAAATGTCACATATGTTCACGTGCAATGGGCTTATTATTGTTATTTTTGAAAGCACCAGGAAATATTCTTAAGATTTCTCGGTTTTCATTTCCAATGTGGTAAATATTGACAGCTGTATCTTGCATACAAAAAGGCTCTTTGGGGCCCTCAATATTCTTTAAGAGAGGAGAGGTGTCCGGAGTGCAGAATGTTTGAGTCTCACTGCCTTACACATGCCGGATGCTCGTGCACGCTTATTCCATTGATGCGGGGCTGGATGCCTGGGCTTCAGCCGCTCCTGGGAGTTGGCGGCTGTGGCTGGGATGGAAGGGAGCAGAGGGCCCGGTCGGCAGAGTGGGGCCGATACCTGAAAGGTGGGGCCTGCCAGGGTCTAGGAGTGGCAGCCACCATTTGGAGCGGTGCTGGCTCTGATGGCAACACCGGTGGGGGGACCTGGGCCTCGGGCAGTGTGGGCTGGGAGTAAGGGTGACAGGAGCTCCGTGTCACAGGGGCTTCAAGAGGCTCACAGTATCCTGTCCCCCTTAGTGTTGGAGGTCGGAAACAGCTCTCTGACTCTGCCTGCCTGTGATAGGAACGGAGCAAAACGATTTTGCAGGGAACTCTGGTTGTCACATCACTGGGTGTGGGCACGGTAGAGCAGGCTGTGGTCTCAGTGGAGAAACTGAGGCTCCAGGTACCTCTCGCTGCTCTGCCCTGACTGGCTGTGAGACCTCCAGCAAGTCGCTTATTAACTGCTGGCTTAGTCGACCATATGGTAAAGATGAGACCAAATGTTCGTGGAGTGCCTATGCACGGTGCATTAGGCATTAGTGACTCCATTAGTAGAATGTCATTAATAATAAATACGCGAAAGAAGTAGGCTGGGAGGGGTGAGGTTAAGGAGGAAGGGTCCTTGAGGGAGTTCTTTCTAGTCCTTGACTAGTGACGGCTGAAGGTTGGCATCCACCATGGTTTCTCAGCCTCTGCACTATTGACATTTTGGGCCAGATAATCCAATGATTGAGGCTGTCCTGTGCATTCTAGGATACTTAGCAGCACCCCTGGCCTCTAACCAGCAGATGCCAGAAGGGAAGCACTTTCTCCCTGGTTGTGATGACCAAAACTGTCTCCAGAATACATTGCCAAAAGTCCCCCCAAAACACAAAATAATATATTCTAGGCCAAAGGGCAGCAAAGCCCCTTTAGCAAAATCACCGTGAACCCAGGGAATAAAGATCTTCAGCAATTTTGCCTATATGGCTCTCAATTATTATGTAAGGGCCCTTTTTAGACATGGCTTTATAAATGAGATGATACATGGAAAATAATTAGTATAGTGCTTGGCACATAAAATGCTTAGTGGATGGTAGTAATTAATATTACTAATAAGTTATTAACTGACCTAGGATATAAAATAATAATCAAATACAAAGGAACAGCCATTTTTCTTAAGGAAGAGAAAAGGTTTCTGGAATTTTTAGATACATACCTATTAGTAAATTTCTGATTCTCAAAGTTTTGGCAATCCCTGCAGGCATTGACTTTGATGAAAGAAAAGTCTAAGTCTCTACGTTAGCGTTACTAGCTCCTGACCAGTAACCAGCACAAAAGCAAAGTCCCAAACGCTGATCTAGCTTGGCCAAATTGTTCGGTTAACTTCATATCCATTATTTATTGGTCAAAGGCATTATTCCACCAGGAACCTGGACACCACCTACCTGACCCAGCATTTGGATCTGCCACTGGCCATCAATCTAGTCTGCAAATTGACAAACAAAACAAACGGACTGCTGTGGGATTCTGCAGTCTCAAACTAAAACTTTGGCAGAAAAATAAGGTTTAGAAAACGTGCAATGAGGTTTCTACTTTAGACTTGACTGATCTTAAAACTCTCATACATTTCTCTCTCCTCCGAGAGAGCCAGGCAATTAGACAACCCCAACGAGACAGAGCATTTCGTTGCAAGCCGAGCTCCCCAACTGCAAATTAGATGCCAAACCAACTCTCAGCAAGATCTGAAACCCTTGTCGACCGTTCTCCATTGAAGAAGTCTTAGCATGACTGTTTCCATATCAGAGATACGAGAAACTTCGCTGCTAACTGCAAGCGCTCTTAGGAGACTTCTACTCCCAGGGTGGTTTTCTAAAATTTCAGTCCTGTTTACAAACTGTGGCATGTCCCTGTGAACCTGCGATGCCACTAATAGAACCACCTGGTATGCTCTGAAGCAAGCTCTGTCCCACACACTCAGAAACCTTTGGATTCTTTGTGACACACATTTTAAAAAGAAAAATCCATGCCCGTCTCTGGAGAAAAGACGGGCTCTTACCTGGTCCCAGGCTTTGTCCATGGGCACTTGATTGGATAAAGATGCATAAAACCAAGAAAATGGGGACACACGGGGCACTTTCCATTTCTCCTGTCTCCCCTGGGGTCCGAGGTCTTCTTGCTAATTTCTGAAGCTAAAGAGACCAGAATGCCTATTGATACTTTGTTGGGGAAGGCTGCCCATTAATAATTAACCTTTCAACATGTTATCTAAGGTTCAGACACTTTCCTTGCTGCCCCCAACCCCAAATCTAATTCTATCTAATTAACAACAACGACAACAAGAAAGATTGAGTTACAAAAGTGCTTTTTACAAAAGTAAATTCTGTAAAAGTAGGTTTTGATTTACAAAAGTACCTTCTGAAAATGAAATATCTCGCCATATATTTATAGTTTCTGGGGCTAACGTCACAGTTCCAGATTAAACAATTCAAAGTTAATGTGCTGTGTTTGGAAATCCTGTCAAAGGTCAGGGGTAGCAGCCTCCACGTGGTTGCCTAAGTGTCCCTGTGACAGCCCCACACAGGGGATGCAAGTGCACGGAAGTGACATTTCCAATCGCAGGCTAAGCCCCTAGAAGAAGAAAAGGGCCCTGCCGTGCTGAAAGCCCCCAGACGGTCTGTTTTCTGTTGAGTTCCGTGACATTGCCGTGGTCACAGTGTGGTGGGGCAACATTTCTGCAACTGAACCGGGCAGAAAACCCTTAACCTCAGTGTAAAAATGAGCCCGCAGAGAAGCAAAGAAGGCCCCACCGGGAGATGATCCTGGAGGGAACACGCCTATTCTTCCTCCGTGTTCATTAACCCTCGGACTGAGGAGAGGACTGAGAAGTAAGACCACGCAGCTGAACCAGGTGGGGGAAACACTACCATGTGTGAATCTTATAATAGTTATTGGATCTCTAGTTTTATTTAAACTTTATTCATTTGCTCATGTATTTTTTTTTGCATGCCCACGTGCCATGCATTGCTTCAGGCATGTGGGATATACCAGTGAAGGACCCCAAAATTCCAGTCGTTGTGGAGATTGTGTACCAGTGGAGGTGGGAGGAGGCAGATGACAAACAATAGACACAATAAAGAAGCGATTTATGTAGGTCGGTAGAATGCAATGAGAGCTATGGGAAACGAAATGGTCTAGCAGGGCCAAGGGGGTGGGGAAGAAGGTAGTAACTTTAAACAGAGTGGTCAGAGGGAATTGTGTTGGGAAGTTAGACTTTGAGCAAAGGTTTGAGGGAGGTCAAGTAGTTGCCCTTGCAGACACCTTGGGGAGGAGAGTTTCAGGCAGTCTGTGCAAAGGCCCTGAGGCAGGAACCTGCCTGGTATGTTCCAGAAATACCAGGCAGGCCAGTGCACAGGACACACCATCATAAGGACTTTAGTTTTTACACTGTGAGACCTGGGGAGCTGTTCTGAGCAGAAGAGTGACATGATTTATATTACAGTTTTGCAAGATCACTCTGGTTTGCAAGTGAGCCTGGGTGAGGCGGAGAGCTCTGCTGGGAGGCTGTTGCAGTGGCCTAGTGAGAGGTGGTGGCAGTTTGGCCCAGCATGGCCACAGCGGGCTTTACTTGCACCACCAAAAATTCCTCTGCCACCATCTCATGCCAACTCAAGTTCTGCGAGGCTCTCCTGAAAAATGACAAGGAGGAGTGGATGTCTGTCCCCTTGCAGGGGTGGTGTCTACTTTCACCTCTACCCCAGCTCTTCCTGCTGCTCCATCAGCGGGTTCCACCTTCCCGGGGTGAGTTTAACACACAAGCTCTGCTGTGTTTCCTTGAGGCTGGCTAGGGAGGCCCCTGGGAGGGAAGAAGGGAGGACTGCTTAAAGTGCAACATTTCCGAAGCCCCAGACATCCTGGGCCTCCTGTCCGCTAGCTGTGCACAGTGTCATATAACCTCGATGAGTTGCATCTCCTCACCTAGAAAACTAGGATAGCATGTGCTGAGATGATATTTTGAGACATCAACTTCTTATTTTTCTCCCAACCTGTCTCCCTTGCTCTCCCTTCCACCTAAGAGGGGCAAAGTCCAGAGACCTCTGCACATCTTTTGTCTTCCAAAAACATAGGACCGCAGGGCAAGTGAATTCTAACTAGCAAAGCAAAGCAAAAGGTTAAAATGTTTTAAAGGGAGAAGGAACCCCCGCCTGCCCTTCCCACCACTGGAAAGACAGTTTCTTGGGCTTTGCAGGCAGTGGGCGATGGGGAGATTTGTCCAAGGATCTGAGGGCAGAGGGGACGGTCCTCTGCTTCCAAGAAACTCTGCTGGAAGGTAAGAACCCAGAGAGAAAATGGCTGTGTGTTTGCTGGCAGATGGGCAAGAGAGGCCCTCGGCCTGGTGTGGGGCCAGCAGGCCATGTCAGTGGGAGGATGGGCCTCCCAGTGGCCACCTATGTGGACTGATGACAGGGGACTATGTCACACCCCTCCTACAGACCCATGCCTGCCTTTTTTTGTCTAATGCAGAACTACGACATTACTGGGGGTGGGACAGGGGAAGGGGAAGGAATCCAGAAGGCCTGGAAGTAGGGCTTGGAATCAGTAATTCAGACTGGTTTCAGAAGTTAAAGATCTTCCTTCCTCCCTCCCTCCCTCCCTCCGCCTCCCTCCCCCCTCTCTCCTCTCTTCTCTCTTCTCTCTCTCTCTCTCTCTCTCTCTCTCTCTCTTCTTCTCTCTCTTCTTCCCGACTCTCACTCTGTTGCCCGGGCTAGAGTGCTGTGGCGTCAGCCTAGCTCACGGCAACCTCGAACTCCTGGGCTCAAGCAATCCTTCTGCTTCAGTCTCCCGAGTAGCTGGAATTCCAGGCTCACACCACCATGCCCAGCTAATTTTTCTATTTTTAGTAGAGATGGGGTTTCGCTCTTGCTCAGGCTGGTCTCAAACTCCCGACCTCAAGCAATCCTCCCAGAGGGCGAGGATTACAGGCGTGAACCACCGCACACGGCCAAGATAATTCTTGAGCATCGGCATTTGTAAACTGAAATTAACACCTCTACAAACACGGGGATGTCATGAGTATTAGAGATTTGTGTGTGAGGTGTCTAGCCAAGTGCCGGCTTCATAGTAGAGGTTCAATAAGTATAGCGACTCATTTTCTAGGCAGCACACTTGGTGGTCAAGGGTCCAGGCTTTGGAATCCGACAGATCTAGGTTCAAATCCCTGGTCTATCACTTATTAGCGGAGTGACCTTGGATCAGACATTAATGTTCTGTGCTTTAGTTTTCTTCATCTGTATAATGGGACTAGTGCTACCTACCTAATCTGATTAAGTGAGGCAATGCATGCGAAGTCCTCAGCGATCCTACCTACATAGTAGGAAATATTAAATGGTAGCTATTATTATTGTTACTGTTTAAATTCAGGTAGGGGATTATGAGGGTCATCAGGAGGTAGACAATGGCAAGACCACACTGACATAATTTTAGCAAAAAATGAAAGGAGCAGGAAAACAAAAGGTCCTGGACCAGTGCTTCCAAAATCCATCTGAGTATCAGCGTCAGAGTCAGATAGAGAGCTCAGAAAAAGGGCAAGTTATGGACCCACCCGAGACTGATGGAATCAACACTAGGGTTAGGGCCTGGAGAACCTTCATTTTAAACAAGCTTCTTGGTCACACACAGTTTGAGAAGCCTTATTTGAAAGTGGTACTTGAGACACCCATTGGGGTGTAAGAAGAAAACAATAAACCTTTTGGATTTTTCTTTATATCGCCTTTGAAAATTTTATGTTTGTGCATGCATACTGTTTGTAACATATCAGGACTATATAATTTGTATATAGTGCTATGTAATATATCAGTGCTATACTATTAATAAGTAACTGACTGTCCACATATTTGGGAGAGTGCTGAAATTTTAATAAAACTTATAAAGATGCTCTGTCAAAAAATAATAAGCCTCTGCCTTGGAGGGGACAGAATGGCTCCCAGGGCTTCAAGGCCTGACTGTATGTGGCTGACTCCATCAATGCATCTGAACAGTCAATAGATCTATTAATGGGATCTTTGGTCATTTTCATGCCCAAGGAAGTCCAGCAGTTATTGAGGACTCTTCATTTCCCGTGCACTAAAGAGGGGGGGACCTGACCCTCTTAGCGGGGAGCCCTTAACAGAGACACCCCCATTGTCCGTGTTAGCAGAGCCCAGTGGCTTCTTCCTTTGCAATTCCTTCCTTGAAGACTTTTCTAATTCGGGTGACACTGTACTCTCCGGTCTGCAATCCTTGGCCTAAAGTAATAATGGTTTTATAATTAGATTTTTAAAAATTGCCCAGTTCCTGCTCTCTTTTAATTTGAAGAGCTTCTTGAAGAAATAGAGATTTCAGGAGACCGGCTCTTGGTGACCTGAGTACAACCTTTTCCTTTAGTGTCACGGTGATAAGAAAGTTAATTAGAGGAAAAGAAATAGATATTTTACAGGGATAAAGAGAACAAATCCCAAGGAAGAGAAGCCAAGGGACCAAGGTGAAGTTCGCTGCTGAGCAAAATAGTTTTTATATTCAGAATCAGGTTTTCTTCTTTTCATCTTCAGGGCCTGGGGGTCCCTTCCCCGAGAAAGGCAGGCTCTTGTTGGCGTTCTAAGAAAACAGTAATCAAAACAATGCCATTTGGACGGGCACTGTCATTTTCCTAATTTTGCAGTTGAAATGTAAGAGATCGAGAACTGGCACAAAACCATCTCACCAGTAAGAGGCTGAGAGGGGAAATCCAGGCATCTGGAGTCCAAGGTCAGTTCTCTTAGTGACCACAGCCCTTAGTCCCTACATACCTGACCTTCCCTGGCACTGAAACCAGGCTTTCTGACACCTCAAACGATTCCATTGCCACGGGGGAATGTCTGAAGTTTGTGGGATCATGTCATAAGAAAATGACTCTATCCTCTCTTCCTCCTGCCTGGGGCCAGGCTGCCCCTGGGAGAATGACCAAGTTTTCACTGGGTCATTGATGGATCTGTGAGGACATTCTTGTCCCATGTAGGAATACGGAAAAACAAGTAGGCAGACCTCATCAATCTGAGTTGGCTTGGAGCATGTCCTCATTTGGAAAGGGGTTGGACTGGAGTTTAACCTTTTCCTTATCTATTTCAGAAAAAAAGAAAGGACCCATAAGCAAATGAAGGGCGAAGACAAGATTGCA